AACCCCTCCTACCGTGACGAGCGCCTCCCTCCATCCACCGGCGAGCTTTCCGTCGGCCACCCTACCCACTACCCTCTCCCTTTCGCGCGCCGGCTTTCTCTTCCTCGCCTCCCCTTGCAACCCTCCGCGTGTTCTCTCCGGAACGCCCGGCATCGAAGAAAACCGAATGAAACGGGAAACGCTCAGTGCGAGGGAACGGAGTTCTTTCTCTTTCTTCTCGTTCGCCCGGTGTCTCTTTCGCCTCTGCTTCTTGGCTGGTTTCTCGGAGAGGAGGGATCGCTGATGGGTATATTATTCGGCTGGGTTTTGTGGCCGAGATTTTCGGGGAAATTGCTGGTGTCTTGTTTAGAAGGGTGTGCGAGGGGTTTATTCGACGGCTGAGGGAATCGTGGGATTGAGTCGGGGACTTAGAAATTTGTAGCGTTAACTTCAGAATTTTATTACGCGTTAGTATCTACGAAATTTCGAACTGAATATCGTGTAACGCGTTAGAACATGAGGGTACCTGCAAAAATCCACTGCAGAATTACATCTCCTGCCAGGAACCCATTTTTTCATGCAAGCAGAACATCCCCGATTTCGAACATAATTCCCAATAGTGCCACCGCCGAACGAGCGCGCGCCATCTTGCGACATGTTCGGAACGTCGCCACCTTTATCAGCGGCCGCCGCTGTTAATGTGATAAAGAGTAATGAAACGAACGAGGGAAAAGCCGGAGACCGACCGAACGAAAGGGAAAAGCGATGGAAGGGAGGGCGGACACGCGACACGCGGGGACGGAAGGAGTACAGTAGGCGCGGCCGCCGGAAAAGCGCGTTGCTCCCTTTCCGTTCGCAGCGGCGGGTAGATGGACCATAATTCTCGCTTATACCTCTGGGCGGCCGAAAAATCCCGTCAGCGGCGTCTCCGGCGCCCTTTTGCTTCGGTTTTGACTTTCGGCCGCGCGCGGCCGGCCCCTACCCACCCCCCGTAATCATGATAAAATGTCAGCCGCGCTGACGGGGGTGGGCCGCGGCGGCGGTCCACGATGGACGCGTCCCCGGTAATTGTCCGAAATGCGGTAAATCACGCGGCGACGCGGACGGAAATCTCGCTGGCACGCGGGCCATCCTTGTTACACGCCAAGTGGACGTCCCGGAATCCGGTTTTTCATTTTTATCCAGCCGAAAGAGACGAGCGCCGCCGGCTTAATGGAAATTTTGATGCCGGACGGGTCGCGCGGTGGAAAACAGCTCGGCGAAACGTGCGTTTTGCCAAGGACGGCTGCCTCTCGCCGTAATGGGAAAGATTATTCACCGGCGCTCGGAGATGTTTGATCGTTTAGTCACTAAACCCCGGTTTATTCCGTAATTCGATTACAGGCTTGCTTTAGTACAGTTTTCAGTACTCGTTTCCCACTTTACTTTGTGGAATCACGGATCAATACCTGTTCAACCCTTACCGTAGCTTCTGCAAAATGTGCTAAAACAAACTGAGCAAGTATCTGTACATACTATGGAAAAGAAATTGATAAAAAGCGTAAGAAATATCCACCGTCAGTTTCTAAATAAAGGAATCAAAATAGAAGCACAGCAACCAGCTAATGGATCCCAAGTCCCTACCCCTTCGTTTCTCGAAAAGCATCGTATACGCGCTTATTGTTCGACGCGAAGCACCATTTCCTGTTCCGCTTTCCCTGGCTTCCTGTTCGCCCCCACCATCGGACCGTGACCAAGGCCCACCCCGTCGTCACGGGCAGAGAATGTCAGTCGAGGGTCGGAGGGTTGGCTCCGCGAGCAAGCTTACGGATATGCCCCATCGTTTCTAGAAACTGGTGTGCGCTCGCCCGCGTGTGTGTGTGTGCGCGCGTGTAACGAGCGTGGATCCAAGGAACTTGTCCCAAGAGAGACGATCGAACGATCCGCCATTGGCGGAACAACCGGAGGCTGACCTTTAGGGAGGCGAACGAGCG